TTCGCGATCACATATCCTGTGAACAGATCGACCCAGATCAACAACTCTGTGTTTCTCTTGTGGGATCTAGGCAACGACTGTATGTGATCCATCGCTCTGGAACTGATACGTCGCCTGCAAGTTCCCCGGTGATTCACCTCGGATCACCGGTTTTCCTTTCCCTGTTTCGCAATCCACGCATTCCCCCACGTATCGCTGAACACTCCGATATAATCCTCTCCAGTGGAAGTGATCCCTGATCCGCTGATAAGTACGCCCCACTCCCTGATGTCCTCCTTCCAACGTAGTGTGATAGTGATGTAAACGTCCGATTGTAGCGTATCGGGAACGACCAATCTCAGCAACCGATCGCGATCATCCCCCGATCTCGGCGTGGGAGGGCTGTAGAAAAGAGTAGATCCTGTTTGTCCACCTCATAGTCGGCAGCGACCTTGCCATACGATTTGCTTCTGCTTGCTTGACGTCTGCGATCGAGCCACTTAGATACATCTTCATGCCTGCAATTCAGCCTTCCTCCTCCTGAGCCCGCTTGATCCGATCAACCCGCATCTCCCGGATCAAGTCCTCTTGCATGACACCCGCAGGTGATCTTACTCGGGAAGCTCGGGTGGTGACCGCAGCAACTCGCACCACTGGGTTTTCGGTCTTGGGAATTAGGATCTCGTACAACCGGTTCAAGGTGACCAGATCTTGGTATTCGGGACCTCCCTGGACCTCGATCCCGATTTGGCGTTGCAAAGTGGCACTCGCTAGACTGTCGGCACTCCCATTCAAGTATCTCTTCACATGCACTAGTTCGTGATCGCACCATTTCCTCAGGCGATCGAGGGCCTTCCGCTTCAATAACGTCAGCCTGAGTGCTTTGCAACCGATCTCGCCCCGTACTTGTCGGATCACTAAGTTGGAATCACCGCAGATCACTAGGCGCTTGCGATCTAGGTCCCCTAGCATGTCGAGTCCCAGGATCAGGCCGTTGTATTCTGCTTCGTTCACAGTGAGGCTCTCGAGATAGCCCGACCTAGCTTTGACCACCTCCCATCATGGGAGACTCCATTCAATCGCGCTGAACGCTTCACTTGGGCGGATCCGTCAAAACTGACCACCCATAATTCCTCTTCTCAATCTACGGTGGGTATCGGAGCTTGGATCCAGCGGTTAGGTTCTTTCCGGGAAGCGATTTCGGTCAGAGCGTCGTCCATCTTCGGCCTAGACGTGATCCTGGCAACGATCGCCCCCAGTATTTCGTCCTTGTCCTTCGTGCACTCCGTGATCTCGAGCGTCCACGGGGCTAGGAGAGCTGACCACTGGCCTAGGCGACCCTGTAATCGTGTCGACCTGAACAGCCAGGCTAACGTGGAATGCCTTTGTTAGGACCCGGACCTTGCGTGCTACCAGTAAATTGTAGTAGAGATCCAAGATCCTCAGCAATGCCAACACCTCCTTTTCGGTCACATTGTAATTCAACTCGTTCGTCTTCAAGGTGTGGCTAGCGAACGCAACTGGATGGTAGATCCCGTCGTGTTCTTGTGTCCACGAAGCGGATATCGCCCAATCACTGCCATATACAATAACTACCGGCGTTCTCGTCTCGTCGAAGTGTCGGAGAATTGGAGTTGTCCCGATCTTGGTTTTCAGGGCGATGAAGGCCTAATGCGCCCTGATCCACCTCTCATGCAGTGGTTCCGCCACCTGCAGCTCCGGTGAACCGTGATCTCGTGCAATCGGGTCGTTCTGGTCCATGATCTTCCTCAGATCCGGTCGTTTCTCCAGCTCTGCGAACTCCACCTCGCGTAGCTCATATAGCATCGACGCGTAGATAGCATAGTCTTCAATGAATCGGCTGTAGTAATTCAAACTACCCCGGAACGACTGCATGGATCGGAGTGACTCGGGGAATGGCAGATCGATCAGGGATTTCAGATCTTTTGGGTTCGCCTCTAGACCTCCGAACGACACTCGATGCCTCAGATATCCTACCTTATCGATGCCCCAGAAACTCTTCGCCACACTGATCGATAAATTCCACTTATCGCAAGCATTCAACAGATCTCCCACCCTTTGGCACGTTTGATCCCACGATTCTGCTGCGGTCATGATGTCGTCAATGTATGATCTCCGTCCCAACACTGACTCGCGATCAGGATCGTCCGCGATCCCTATCTGGAATACATCCGTTGTAGCCCCGGCGTCGCCTGATCGCGAGATCTTCAAAAATCCATACAGTGCGTTGTCTACGAGGCGTTGATAAATCTGCGGGGCTTTCTTTAGGCCAAAAAGCATGCGACTTCATTCGAATAATCCAAACCGGGTGATAAATGCTGAGATCTCGCGAGCCCGATCTGTCGTGGGCACGACCCAGAAACCACTGGTCATATCCAGCGAGCAATACCATAATGCCTTATCCAGATTCTCCAGCAGATCGCTGATCAGGGGCATAGGGTATACCATCGGCCTCGTGGGGCCGTTTACCAACTTGTAGTCGATGCACAACCTGATATCCACACCGTTACTCTTGCGAATAATCACGATCGGTGAGGCTCATGGTGATGTCGAGGGTCGGATGATCTCAGCTGCCAGGAGACCCTTGATCAGGCCTGCGACTTGTTCTCGAAATCGCGTGGGCACTTTCCGGGTTCACAGTGCGATCAGTCTCGCGTTCCCGACATCGATGTTACATACAACGCCCCTGGCCGCCGGAGGTAGAGCGTTGCCTTTGTCGAGCAGGAGGTGTTGCTTTCTCCCAATGAACTGCCGGAGCTTCTCGATCTCCTCGGGTGTGGCCGATTCGGAGTCTCCCACCTCCAGATCCTCGATACTGACCTTCGCGGTCGTCGAGATCGGAATTTCGGGGAGGACGGCTAGGTT